CCAACGTATTACCATAAGAAAATGACTGATAGTGGTGGGAAACTAGGGGGGGGAGGGGAAAGGAGATGGGATTAATGGTAGTAAACATCTGTCCGGGGATGGGGAGACACCTTATCAACAAGGGTGCCTGAACGAAGCATACTTGTATACTAACCCTTAACTGCACTCCACAATATCATAAAAAATATTGATTATAAAAAAATAAATAATAAAAAAGTTTCTTTGGTGGGCATTTATCATGCCATTTTATTCCGTCTTTATGGTCTATCAGGTAGGAGAAACCCTAATGTTACAGATGAAACTAAAATCTGGAAGCACTGTGGAACGGTGGAATAGGGTTGGATTTTTGTGTTGTGTCCTAGATTCAAGTTTGACTCTCCCACCCAAAACTGTCTGATTGTAGGCAAATTGTTCTAATTTTTCTTATTTTCTGTTTTCTTCTTTGTAAATTTTCAATACCAACCTTGGAGAATTGTGCTGGGGAGAGAATATGTAAAGGTCCTTGCTGTCTGGCACTTAATCGTGTAAAGAATGGCCGGGTGTGGTGGCTCAAACGTGTAATCCTAGCACTTTGGGGAGCTGAGGCGAGAGGACTCTGGCCTGGGCGAGGAGTGAGACTCCCAACTCAAAAAAATAAATAAGTCATGTAAAGAATGAATGGCTTGACCATTATTAGAAGCAATCTAATAATCTAATCAGTCATCTGCCTGACTCCAAAACCCATGCTGTCAATTCTCCATGTGATTGAAGTGGGGAAGAAGGGATGAGAAATTGCCGCTTGGGCCCGAGTCAGGTGTCCACTGTTGTTAGTACTGTAATAAAAGGTCAACATCCGGGCCTCTGTAACCAACACCAGCCAGCGAACGCAGAGGAGGCCCCGGCTCCGGAGCAACCGCCGGCTTCAGGCGGCCAGGTCCCGCCCCCGCCCCCGCTGATTGGAGAGCGATGAGAGCGCTGGCAAGTGATTGGTAGGCAGTCACAAAGGGGCGGGGCGCGGGGGGCGCGGAGCGTTTTGCCAGTGGTGGTTACCGTGGCGTCGCTCGCGGGATCGCGAGTCTCGGTTGAGCGGCAGGCGAGGATCAGACGAGTCTGCCGGTGAGGGCAAGCCGCCGATCCGGTTGGCGGGGGGCGCTCGGTGTCACGGGCGCTGAGCTGGGTCGCGTCCCGTCCGCTGCCGCAAGGTCTGCGGCCCCGCCCTGTCCGTCCCCGCTGTCCCGGATCAGCAGGGCCGGCTGCCTTTGCGCGGGACACACGCTCCAGTGTTACCTCCGCGGGCGCGACGCGACTTCTTGCGTACCCTCCCACTCCAACGTGTACTGATCTCCGCGTCGCTCTTCCCACGCGGAGCCCGACGGCTCTTCTCCAGGTTCAGGCCTATGCGTTTGGTAGCCCGAGTTGGTCCAGGAGGAGCACGGGCTGCTCAGGTGACTCGGTGGGCTTCAAGTGTATGTGTACACTGAAGGCTTAAGTAGATGCTGACTCTAAACTTCCGAGTTCCACTTGCGGATCCCTAACTGGAGTTTAGGCTACAGAGGCATTAGATGGCTGATGTGATTCTGTGGGTTGTATTTAAAACGTTAGGAATGTGTTCGCACATCAATGTCAACATTTTTAATGGCGGCATCACATTCTGGATATCTTTATGTTGAGGAAGAAGTTTGAAAGAAGTGTTCTTATGTAGCTAAGCTTCTTTTGAATAGAAGACGAGGCAAATTCTAAGTTACTGAAATTACTTATTTAGCACGGTTATTGCCCTACTGATCTTTAACTTCCCTTTCATCGTTGGTGATTGTGTTTTTAGGACTTTTTCAGATGAGAGGAATTAATTTAGAATTTTTTTTGTCATTACTCTTAATAGCTAGGTATGTTTTTAGAAACAATATGTAGAAGTTTGGACATACTTTTTTCTCGACTGGCCTTCTTTCTTTCCTCTTCCCTTTCTATTTTTTAAAGCTGTTCTTGCATCACTTCCTATCCCATCTTTGAGTCTTCACTGCCCCCTCATTTTTCAACCTCATAGGATCCCATAGTATGCTCAGCCAAGCATGACTACATACTACTCTGAGAAACTGTCCATGGACCCAGCTTTTAGTTCTGGCTAGGTCTTTGCTCTGCTGGAACTTCCATTTGCTCCTCTGCCATCCTCTAGTCCTTTAATCCGACTTTGCCAGATTTCATTGCCCTATTTTGTCTTCTCCAACAATGATTTCTACTGCTGAGAAGTATAACTTTTCTAGAGGCAAACATTTTCAGTTTGGGTTATCAGCCTTGGTTCTTTTGGAATATTAGAAATTACCTTATTGACTGAACCCAGACTTATGGTGGAAGTTCCAGCACAATTAGTGCTGTGCTGGATTGTCCCTTTTCTTCTGCCCTACCGTCACTTTATCCATTCTCATTATAGATGAAGGACATCCAAATCTCCTGTTATTTTCTATCCTCTCCCATTTTATTATTTTCAGGGTGTTGCTGTGGAAGACCACTGTAGTAAAGGCAATGTTCTTATTAATAATATCCTTTAGGGGCTAGAAAGGGAGTTAGGGTTATAGAGCTTCATACAAAGTCATTTTTTCAACAGGCATTTCACTATTAAAGATATAAGAATATGTAACAAAATCTAGCAATACAACTCCTTATTTAGCTTTTACTTGAGAATAATGACCTTTTATCACTATCACCAGCAGTATTAGCATTTACTTTGTATTGCTATATTTATTGCTTGTTTTTTGATAAATAGTATAACAGCACTCCCAAAGAGCTGAGCTAAAAGTAGCTTTTCTTCCTGTGATACCATGTCTTTTAGGACTATTAGCGTCTGTACAATGCAATTCAAGTTGTCTAATTCATTCATTATAATTTGTATTAGTGTTATGAAAATTCACATTGTTTCAGGAATACCTGTATGTGCATGAGTTGCATAAACTTTGGTGGACTTCATTTGGAGTGAATCAGAACATGATTCCTATAGGAAATCAGCACCCCTCCAAACAAACTTTTGGAGCACAACCAAATATTTCTTCATTTCTGAAGCAGGGATAATATCTTACCTATATTATCAGCTTGTTCTAAGGTGCAATTAAGAGAGTAAATATTTATTTTTTTATTGAACAAAGCTTTTATGGGAAAGATAGTCCTGGGTCTTCAAGCCAGAGGAAGGCTTATTTACCTTTTAAAGTAAGCCATTTAACATACATTTCAAAGAGCACAACTATGTCTAAAACACTGTACTAGGTGATGGAGCCCAGATGTGTCCCTTCAGTTGAGAGAGCAAGAAAGCTATGTAAAAAATGAAATTGATTTTTCTAGGTACAATATATGATATAGGTAGTGGTGTGAAAGGTTTTGTGGATTAGTTGACATTTGAGCTGAATTTTGAAAGATGACGAGGTGCTTGTCAGGTAGCCATGTGTGAGGATTGCAGTGAGTAAAGCAGAACAGGAA